AATTCGTGTTGCACAGAACGAATCATAGAAAGAATGGGTTTAAGAGGAAGATTGTCCTTATATACCTTGGATAAATCATACAATAGTGGACGTTGGAAACCAACAGGTCTGATACGATTGTACACACTCTTGGAAATCATGTTAGCTTTATATACAGAAAGCAACCGTCTCTGTATTTTCACCTCTATCTTGTTAGTGCTATCAAATACGTCTACAGAACCAATCTTCCTAAGCTTAGAGGAGTCATGTAAAATGACTTCCATTTTACTAATATAATCCTGACTATTTAAAACTACTACACCAGAGCCTTTATCCGGCTTGGTGATATAAATAACGCTTCTAGACGTTAAAGACTTAATAGTCTGGAAGTGAACACTCTGCCACGCAAGAAAATCACGATCTGCGGAGAGGGAAGAATATTCACTCGATAATTCAACTAATCTAGTTTTATACAAGGAAGACTTGTCAGGTGAGGAAGGTTTATGTAAATTTAACTGAGAGGATAATAATTCAAACTTAGCAAAGATATGGTCTTTGTTTACTTTCGAAGGAGGAATACAAAATTCCAACCCCCAAGAAAGAAGAAGACGTTCTATCTCCGTAAGAGTAACATTGGAGAAATTAAATATGTTTATTTAATATCTGTCTATATTTCTGAGATGAGGTATTATGTACACTATTTACATTATTCGAACTATTGTCCTCATCTTTGTTGCCATGTTTATAACGTATTGGTCTTTTAGTATATTGGTCGCCATATTTATTACAATGTTTTGGCCGTTGTACACTCCAGCATTCTTCAGGCGGTTGGAATGTTGAGCTGAACCCTTTATTTCGCTTACTGGGGTAGACTGTTGTAGTTCCACGTGCCATGTTTAATGGATGTCAGTTATCAGTTATCTCCTGTTAATTCCCCTCTCCAAGTTCTCCACTGCCTTAACCGGGTATTGAACTCACACATTTTGGATCTTGTCACTGGATCTAACCAACGCCTTTATCCACTGTGCCATGAGTCCTTGAGAACAGTCTACCCCTGTGAGCAAAATAAAGTGTTCAGTTCGACATTACAACAACCTGAAGAAGGCCGGAGCGTACAACGACCGATACGTTGTAATAAATATGGTGACCAAGATGAGGACAATAGTCCGAATAATGTAAATAGTGCTTATTTAAATCTCCGTTTTCAACAGCAAGTCTTTTAGAAACGAGGAAACCAAGATAACTGTTTTTTTTTAAATTGATACGCGAAAAGCGAAAAGAAATCAAAGGACAACTTGTTTCTAATATCTGTCAAAGTTGACCGACGTAAACGCAAGCTTGATGAGGAATATTCAATATAATTTCCTTAACTGATGCCTAACAAAAGCTCGATCAACTGGAAGACGGAATCCTATCTTGACATTCAACAACCTCCCTCTGATAAACGACGGGACAACACCACGTGACAAACAAGAGTGGAGAAAAGATCGTGTAGCTCTAAGGGTATTGACCTTATGCCACAGCCGGTTAGAATTATTAAGTTCGTCGATAATATTTCTGGGATATCTACAACGGAAATATTTGAACATGTGACATCATAGAACATGAATACTGATTTGAGAAAAGTACAACGGTATTTGTTATTTATTTTTTGTAATTTTATTCTAATCATTAATTAGTTACTATTAAATTGCGTTAATCGTGTTCCATACTTCCCCTCCTCATTTAATATAATTATTTTTTAGCGAATGGCTAATATTTGTTTTGTCAGGTTTATTGTAATGTCTACCTTTGAAAAAATGTTGGCCGAAAAGAAAATCCTTCAGGAAAAATAAATAAAAAATGTCATTTGGCTTTTTCAAATCAGTTTTCATGTTCGGTGGTGTCAAATACTTGTTCAAATATTTCTGTTGTAGATTTAAATGCGGTAAACCCCATTCCTCTATATATTCTTTCTTTATTTATTTATTTCATTATTTCTTTATTTCTTTCTTTCTTTCTTTCTTTTTTTTCCCTTTGCCTCTTTTTTTTTAACGAAGATTTTTTTTATTTATCTTTCCATCAACTTCTCTCTTAATTCTTCTTTCTTTCTCTCTTTTTATCTTTATCTATTTTTTTACCAGGATATCTTTTATCTTTCCATCAATGTCTGTCCGTCTGTTTGTCTTTCTTTCTTTCTTTCTTTTTCCGTTGGTCTATTTTTACCTGGATTTCTAATTTACCTTTCCATCGATTCCTTTATGCTTGCTTGCTTACTTACTTTGTCTATTTTTTTTTTCCAGGCTATCACATTTATCTTTCGATCAATTCCTCTCTATATTATTTCTCTCTTTCTTCTTTTTTTCTTTTTTCTATCTTTTGTGACGTCGTCCCCCCTGGTCGCAGCGTCGACTGTGTCGTTAGATCCCGTTCGCGACGCCAGCCGCTCGCTCCTCGCTGCTCCAAGTGTGACGTTCTAACCCTTGGGTTAGATGAATACCAGCCTCGTCGTTCCCAACTCGCCTCCAACGCCTGGTTACTAGGGTAACTGTACTGATCTCCGGTCTGCCTACCCACGTTGTGATTAGATCTTAGACAGACGGGATCAAACAGGGATTGGGGCCGTATGCAAGCTGAGTCCAACGGGGTGATAACACACAAGAAAAAAAAAAAACTCACAAGGTCAAAAATTATTGAAGAAAAAAGGTAACAACTTTTTATATCTAAATGTTCGTTACACAGGATTATTCCTACCTCCCGACCCGTTTTGTGGACTGTGGCACCAAGCTTCTACCATACAACTTTAAGGCTTCGAGTTGCTTGTTCTCTAGAAATTTGCATTTCGGGGTGTGGTTTGATTTCAACACTGGGCGCTGATCTCTACCTGTCGTTCACGGCTGATTTCCCTCGCCGTCAGTGCGCGAATTAACTTCTTCTCTTCTGCTTCGGTTGGACGAATTTATTCACTTCGACTTGAGTTGGGCGAATTTCTCTTCTTAGGCTTGGTTTGGACGAATTTCTCTTCTTAGGCTTTGTTTGGACGAATTTATTCACTTCGACTTGTGTTGGACGAATTTCTCTTCTTAGGCTAGGTTTGGACGAATTTATTCACTTCGACTTGTCTTGCCGCAAAGGGGACTAATGAACAAGGCCCGTCGTCCGCGCTGCAACTCCAACTTAACTTCTTCTTCCGAGGCGCAAACCCAACTTTAACTTCTCTCTTCGGTTTCAGCGCTGCAACTTCTCTGCCTGTCCGGGCCAAACGGACCGGCCTTCCTTGCCCGCAAGGGGGCGAATGAACAGGGCCCGCCGTCCGCTCTGCAACTCTCTCTCGCCGTCCGCCCTGCAACTGATTTCTGTCGATTGGGGTCCTGCTTTTATTGAGGCAGGCAAAAACTGGGGTGGGTCTGTCGGCGCCAGGGTTTTCTTGATAATTCTAAAGTCGTATTATTTCTGATTAGGGATTTCCCATTATCGCTCTTACTTTCACTCCTACTTCCTTACTGTGCCTCTGGGGGGAGGCTCATACCCGCTTCCCCTGGTCCCTCGTATGTCAGGTGACCGCTCTCGATCAATGGGGTCCTGGTCGGGCATCTTTCCTCCTCCCTCGCACATCACGTGACCGCTCTCGGCCAATGAGACTCTGGTCGGGTGTCTCTCCTCCTCCCTCATGTACCATGTGACTGTCCTCGGCTAATGAGACTCTGGTCGGTATCTTCCCTCCTTCCTTCGTGACGTCTCTAATCGGGCGTGTACAATCCGGGGCTTTGTTCTGGGGGAAGAAACACCTTGCTTAAAAAAAAACAAAATTTAAAGTGTCCTTTTCGTACGATCGAATGACGCTATCGGTCCCTTCCACACGTGGCATCTGTCAAAACAGCCTGCCGCTAATTGGATGCGATCTACTAAAGGAATTTTTCCAGACCTGTCGGTGTCTCTCGCGAGCTAATACCAATATTCCATTTTTCTCTGGCCGATAATAAAATCTACATTATCTCAAAAAAGCATTTTCACTTTGGGTGGTTTTTTTCCAACCCCAGAAATTGTCTGGGTCCCGTGTATTAATGTTTTGTTTTCGTATACATTTCCCCATCTGTTACCTATCATCTCAATGACACCCTTTTCGTTTGTTACTTATCAATATTTTTTCATTGTCCCTAAAATTTTATTTCTTCAGCCAACTTTAACAAACTTCCATCTTCCGTGGACACGGAATTAGATCAAGTGCTTGACCTGATAATTTTGACATCTGATATGTGCCGGTCGAGCATGTGTGTTTTCGCTTACGACCTTGTTTCGTATTATGTTTCTGTCTTTCCTTTTCTTTTTTTATTATCTCTAAACTCTATTTCTTCAACCAATTATAACAACTTCCAACTTTTTCGTGGATTTCGGTCAGGTACTTTGACCTAGATATCTTTTGACACCTGTTATGTGTCAGTTAAGCGTGTGTGCTTATGACCGGGTTTTGTACCATCTATTTCTCTTTCTTTTCCCTTCCTCCTTCCTTTCTTTCTTTCGGATCGCCTAAATGCAATTAGAGAATTATTCTCAACTCCGAAATATTTTCCATCTCCAAATAACTATCAAATGGTTAACAAACCGAAAAAAAATAAATCATATATTTATGAATATCTCTTTTCAGTTTCCTAATTATGCATGGTGCCACACTTTCTTTCTTTCTTTCTTTCTTTGTCTATTTTTACCAGGATTTTTTTTATCTATCAATTCCTCTCTATATTTTTTCTTTCTTTTTCTCTTTGTTTATTTTTATGAGGATTTCTTATTTATTTTTTCATCAATTACTCACTATATTCTTTCTTTCTTTCTTTCTTTCTTTCTTTCTTTCTTAGCTACTATATTCTCTTTATCTCTCTCTCTCTCTTTTGTTTACTTTTCTGTTCTTTGTCCAATGTTTCTTATATTTTCTGCTTGTTTATCTGATACCTGTTTTGCCTACTTTACTTTCTTGCCATTTTCTCTTTTTTTTCCTTTATTGAGTCTCGAGATTTTTATTTTATTTTATACAGAAAGAGAAACACAGTCAAATCTAGAAATATTAAGAACAGTGAGCGTGAGAGAGAGAGAGAGAGAGAGAGAGAGAGAGAGAGAGAGAGAGAGAGAGAGATACATAAAAGGAAGAGAAGAATAGGATAATAAAAATGAGCGTAACGGCAATATCTATCTATCTATCCATCTATCTATCTATCTATTGGTGATAGTGAGAGAATGAAGGAGAGAAAGTGAAAGGAGGAGACCAGGAGAATGGGAGGACAGGAGAGAGAGAGAGAGAGAGAGAGAGAGAGAGAGAGAGAGAGAGAGAGAGAGAGAGAGAGAGAAGGTAGACAGTCGAGACAGAAAAGTGATAGTGAGAGAATGGAGGAAAAAGAAGTGAGGGGAGAGGGGAGAGAAATAGAGAGAGAGATAGAGAATGAAAAGAGAGGGAATGAAGAAAAGAGAGAAAAGAAGATAGGAGAGACATTGATAGTTAAGGAGAAAAAGAAGAACAGGTGTGAGAGAGAAAGTGATAATAGGAGTTTGAAGTGTAGAAAGGAGAAAGGGGGAAGAGAAGAGAGAAAAATGATTATGAGAGAAAGTTATATATATATATATATATATATATGGAGAGAGAGAGAGAGAGAGAGAGAGAGAGGGAATGCCTGTTAGAAAATAGAGAGAAAATTGATAGGGAGAGAAAAAAATAAAAGGAAACTGTTAAGTTTAATAGTAAAAACTATTATCCTTTAAAGGTTTTAAAGATTCAAATACAGTTTTAAAATTCTTCCATCTTTATTTTCAAAAGAGAAAGAGTAAGAAAGAAGAGAGAGTGGTAGAGGTTTGAGTGATGAACAGATTTATAAAATTCAAATTTCATTTCAAGGAAAAAAACAAACTATTCAAGAATTTTCGTCCCTTTTAGAAATATTGCTTTCTGAAAAAATGAAACTTACTCTATGGTTAGGAGATATTTAACGTTTAATGATATCAGCATAAATCTCTCTTTGTATATAAAAAAAAAAGAGATACAAAGGAAATTCTGGAAAACATGTAAAACATGTTTAATGGAAGATATTAAAAATCAACATTTCTCTTAACACTTTACAATATTTAGTAGATTGTTTTTTTTTTTGTTTACACGCAGAAAAAGGATTATTCTGAAGAATAATGCCTCCGCGATGTTAGGGGGTGGGTGTTCCTGCAAATAACATATCATACTTTTATGTCTTGTTACAGCTAGTTTTGGAAAAATGGTTCTGATATCAAAGTGCATATGAAGCAAATATGCGTCATTACATTCTTCCATGGGGAAAAATTGCATTAATAAACACTCTCGGAATGTTTACGGAGACCAAACAGTGGATGCGAGCAGAGTAAGATGTGAAATGTATTTCAGCAGTGGAAACAGTAATGCGTGTGTGACAGTATCGCAGTGATGATGATCTCATATCTTGCTGATGATGACTTTTCTGGCCGACAAGATGAACAGTCTACCTTGAACAGCCAGAAGTCAGTTTAATTAAAAGAAAAACTTGTAGTTCCAACGAATGATTTATTTCATGGAAATATTTCAACTAGCTGTTGCTAGCCTTGGTCACTCCTTTAATTTGAATAAGACAATGCAAAGAAACTTGAAACGCTTTCAAATCAATGAAAAAACCGAGTTGATGACGTTTACAAAGTAAAAGCAGACGCCTTTTTAGCGAGGTCCATGTCTTATTCGTATCAAAGTTACGATGCTTGTCCCCGTTGTTAGTTGCATAATTAAAAGAAAAACTTGTAGTTCAAAAGAATGATTTATTTCATGGAAATATTCTATTCAGCTAGTTGAAATATTTCCATGAAATAAATCATTCGTTGTAACTACAAATTTTTCTTTTAATTATGCAACTACCTTCGGTGACAAGCATCCTAACTTTGAGAAGTCAGTTTACCTGGAAAGAAACAATAAAGTTGGCTTTTTTGAATGACGCAATGAGCACCGAAATTGACTGAATATTAGGCTGTATGAAAACCTTCGTTCTTTCATTGAAGAAACGATCTTAAAACCAAATCAGGGAGTTGTTAAAAGAAGTTCTTTCACAATTGATATAAATATCGAATCTGTTACCTTCAAATGATAATTTGTTTAATTCTAGGAAAGCCTTCCATTTTTGTGATGGAATACACAATTTATCCGAAATTTGTTGTTTGAAATCCAGTGAAAATACTTTGATGACTAATGATGCTATAAATTTATATGAATAAAATATTTTGGTAAATGAAGAATTGAATCTTGGAAAACATAAAATTACTCCGATGAGCGACCTAATACATCTATTGGTAAAAAGACTAATCATAAAAAAGGCGATTGTCAAATATGAATGTGAACTTACGCAAGACAAGCGAAAATACTGTTAGTGTGATGGATGCCCAAAATTCCATTTCAGAAGTCTTCCTCACCACCTGTCATGTTCACCGACTTTAAGAGAGCTGCTACCGTGACGTTTGAAGAAGAGTCCCGGCCATCTATCTGAAAAAGCAAAGAAAAAGATACAGAAATATTGTAGATGCTTGTAAATTCTAAATAGATCAAGACAAGAGATTGTATTGATGGTTATCGCATTTCCATGGTGCATAGAAACACAAAATACGAGATGGTATCGACAAATTCCAGGACTATATGCGCAGTGATTTTGACCGCGCTGCTAAACGGTAATGCGGCCATTGGTATGAAAAAAGAATGAAAGAAAGACGGAGACAGGATATATGAAAAGAGATGACGTAAAATGTCTGGAAAATAAGGAGGGAGAGAATAACAGGGGGAAGAAGAGGTAGGAGTCAGAAAGAGAGAAAAGTTGGAGAGAGAGAGAGAGAGAGAGAGAGAGAGAGAGAGAGAGAGACAAAGTTAAAGAGAAGGGGAAGGGGAAAGGAGAGAGAGAATGAGAGGGAAAGGAAAAGAAGAAATGTGGCAGAGGGAGGTGTGATGATAGAGGACATAGACAACGTGTCGAGATGAGAGCAAAAGAAAGCAGCTAGATAGAGTGAAAGAGAAAGGAACATATAAGTAAATAGGCAAGAGAAAGAAAGAAAGAAAGAAAGAAAGAAAGAAAGAGAGAGAGAGAGAGGGGGGATATCGACGAACGGATGAGAGGGAAGAGAGGTAGAAAGAGAGAAGACAAAGGAACTTGAAAACAAGGAGAAAGAAAGGAGGAGAAAAGGCAAAGAGAGGAAGAAAGAAAGCGAGCGAAAACGAGAGGATGAGAAAGGAGAGTATATAGTTAACGGCTATTGGTAATCTGTTGACTGTTGTCTAACTTAGTTGTACAAGTGTCTTCTACTTTTCGAATGTTCGGTTAACGCCATTTCACTTTTATGAAAGACCAACAGTAGTACAAGATTTTACCCCGTTATCCGAAACTTCAGGGAACTTCAAACTGAACCATTTATTTAATCTACGGGCGTTCGCTGTTCATGTCCAGGCATATCTCGACTTGTTCTTTTTTCTTAGTAATGCTCAGTTACTGCCCGTCCTGTTCCCATTGAGTCGAAATCTGCACTACCGACCACAGGGACTGAACACACAAGTACTATGCCACCAAAATTCACGAACCAACACTTTCATTAACCGAGAAAGGACATAACGGAGAAAACGTTGTGACAACAGCAACAAAGACAACAAATTGTCCAAGTGTAAGTTATGTAAATAATGAAGACATCATAAGAATTCAGAGAGAAGTGTGAGTTTCTGATTTGACTTGATTAAAGACATTAAGTAATCCTTTTGTGTTAATGTGTCTGCAATTAAATAAAGCATATAGAAATCATTTCAAGAGCTGCACAAACAATGGCAGCTGTTGCAAAACTAAGAACCATTTAGAAAGACAAGAACATCTGCCTGAAATCAAAGATGAAATTATTGCGTGCATTGGTCCTCTCAGTCTTTTTGTGAGCCTGCCAATCTTTGACATTAACAGCAGAATTACAGCGAAGAATCCAGGCATTAGAAAAACGCTGCTACAGGACTAATCAATGCATCACAAATAACTCAGTGCGCAACACCATCAGGCAAGAAGCAGGCTCGATGGAAGACCTCATAGCGCCAAGAAAAGAAAGTGGAAACAGTATGGACACGTCACGAGAGCCAACAATCTTTTCCCCTTTCGTCTTGCAATATAACACCTTAGTCAAAGAAAAAAAATGAGCTGACAATGCCACTTATTAGTTTAGAAGATCGTTCACAGAAAGTTAGGCATTGGCATGCAACCGAGACAGGTGATGGGAGCTGGTCAAGTGCTCACTTGTCGATAGACACTACTGGTAATATGAATTATGATGATGAATAGAGAGGATGATGAAATAAAACAATCATTGGTAATATTTAAGTAAAGCTGCACTGTATATAATATGCTATCTATGCCAAAAAAAATAAGAACAAATATGAATTGTTTATTGAGTTCAATAGTTTTAGCAAAGTTTACCTTTGGATCTACTGCTCTGGACACCGAGCCATGGCGCAAAACTGGTTGGTTGCCCAGCAATCGCCAACAATGACCAATTGTGTTATTCCACCGTAATGACCTTGCGACCATGATGCAGGAACTTATAATAAGGAGAGCATTCGTTTTTTTTTACCTCAATTATAAGCGAAGAAGGCCCCTAAACATGAATAATTTCAAGAGCAGCACAAACAATGACAGCTGTTGCAAAACTAAGACTAATCTGGATAGACAAAAACAAGATGCAAGACTGTGATGATTGGCGCGATAGACTCATGAATGTACGAGCTAACCTGACCGAATAATAAACTTTTAAAGAAAATATATCAGGGGTCATTAGAAGCCTTTTAACTTTCTATCCTTTGCACCATGAAAGGAATGAACCCACATCATGGGTTAAATGGTAGGACTTTTATCTGGGTAAAAAAAACATTGTTATCTCCAAAAATTTTTTAATGCAATATTTATTGACAAAAAAATTCTTACAATTCAAAATATGTTTCGGCTTTAAATAATTCACAAAGGGATGATAAACCGTAAAAAAAAAAACAAATCAATCAAACAATTATTTCCTGGATAGATTCGGCGATAAAAAGCAATCAGACATTTTTATTCCCCTTTCAATACACATACGTCTAGATTAACTTCATGATTTTCAGGAATGAGAAGCGTCAACTATTGCTAACCGATTGGATGATGATTTTAAACTACTATCAAAAAACAATTTTCATTTGATTTGCGACGATGAGATCGATACACGTCCATCCAATAATCTAGGGTTATATGACTCTAAACATTTTGTGACATTAAGTTTTCTAAGAGTAATTTCAATCTGAAAAAAAAAAAGATCAGACTGGCCATTAGGAATGAGATGCTACAGGACTATCCTAGGCTTCTTCTACGACACTGGGCAAGAAAGAAGAACATTGTGAATAAGAGAAAGGTTATATGGCTACGTCATGAGAGCCAGAAATCTTTAATCTGCCATTGGACACTGTATAAACAAGATCAGACTGGTCATTGGGAATGAGGTGCTACAGGACCTATCCTAGGCTTCTCCTACGTAGACCGCATCAAAAACGACACTGGGCAAGAAAGAAGGACATTATAAACAAGAGAAAGGTTATATGGCTACGTCATGAGAGCCAGAAATCTTTAAGCTGCCATTGGCCACTGAATAAACAAGATCAGACTGGTCATTGGGAATGAGATGCTACAGGACCTATCCTAGGCTTCTCCTACGTAGACCGCTTCAAAAACAACACTGTGCAAGAAAGAAGACCATTGTGAATAAGAAAAATTTGAAATTATATGGTTACGTCATGAGAGCCAGAAAACCTTAAACTACCACTTGACAAATTCGCATCTTAGGCAAAAAAAGAGGCAAATGAAAACGTCACCTACTGGACTGGAAAAATAATTCCACAAAACTTAGACATTATCACGCGACCGAGAGAAGTGGTCAGCTGCGCAGCTGGGCAGCCACCCTACGAGTACACTCGCTCATAGGACTAATGATAATGATGACGGTGATGACTAATTTAACCTTATCTGGTACAAGGCCACAAGAAAGTAAGGTCAGACAATCGCGGCGGATATTTCCTTCCAACAACGAACGAAGAGTGAAAAGGTACACAAAAATTTAATTCTGCGAATTTGTCAAGAGAAAATGTGTCGTTCTTCAGAAATTCAGCTGAGGATCAAATCGTTATCTGGGGTTGGGATGTTCGTTTGAAATAACTGCCTCGATTGACTGGCGCGAAAATTGTCACGTCGCGTCTCGCGAGAGATAAAGCTCTGACGCTGATTGTCTCTGCTATTTTGATTTTATTACGTTGTTCACCAAAGTAATGTATTTTTGGAGAGGAAATAAAAATTCCGTTCAATGAAAATTAAATTTATTTCTGGAGAACATGATGTGCATTATTCGCAATATATATATATATATATATATATATATATATATATATATAGAGAGAGAGAGAGAGAGAGAGAGAGAAAGAGAGAGAGACAGATAGAGAGAGAGTGAGAGACAGCGAGAGAGAGGATGAAAGTAATTCTTTTATTCATCGTAGAAATAAATTAGTATTCTGGGTGTAAAACGTATGTCAGTATCGAAAGCAAAAGCTATAAAAAGCTTTCGTAATTGATGGAAGATCCTTCCTCCCCCAACAGTAGCAAAGTTGCAAGCCTGTCGCTAATCTATCGCTATTTTCATGGTAAATGTTCAGATGTGTCCCATTCTCTTGTTCTACCAGTTCAAATCTTCACTGCTCGGGCACGTTATGCTATTTCCAGTACCCCTTTATTTCCTCAGTGTTAAGAAAGTAAGAAAGACGTTCCACCCTGACAGCTTTTTCTCCCCAAATACTGTCACTTTGGTGAACAGACTCCCGCGTGGATGCTTCCTTGAGAACTTTAATACTGACCGATTCAAGTCAAGATACAATCGTTATCTATCCTCCTTATTCTCATAACACCATTTTTTCTTCCATTTATACTTTACACTTCATTTGTTATTACCAATTGTAACACTCTTCCTTAAGTGGCTCTCAAGCTTATACTGGGCAAAATTTGTTAAAAATACAATAGGTTTCGTATCATACATGATTTTAGAATGAAACACTATAATCCCAGCAGATGAGAAATTAAGAGAAAAACATTACACGCCAGAGGCTTCAATTGGGTAAGTGATTTTTAGAAAGTAATCATCTCACTCTAAGCAAGGCAATAAAGTCACTAGGATGCAATGGGCTGCTGAGAATGAAAGCGCCTGAGGAAAAAAAAAACAATATCAAGGGGTGAAGATAATAAGAGAACCGGATTCAAGGAGATGACGATCGACATTGCATTTAACTTTTTGAAGATTAAAATTCACTGGAAAGTAAGAAGCTGGAAAAAGTTCCACGAGTGAGAAGTTCGAAAACTTTAGCATAGAGCATAGGGTTACATCTAGCAATTTCATCAGAGAAATAATGAGACGTAGCTGCCAATCTAGTATTCCGCGTAAAATTCTTAAGTCGAAGTACCAAAAAAACAATTATCTTGAAAAAAATTTATAGCAAAGGAACAGGGAAGCGTTATTTTTCAGTTATTTTTCAGAATGACATCGCAAGCGCATGCGCCGTGGATTATTAATA